TCTTGGTTTAAGGTTTGGTGCACTATAATGAAAAATAAAAAATATCAATCAGAGTATTTAATAACAAGCACCTCACCTGCTCCGACATATCCCACAGCCTTAGCTGCTCTCACTGCTGCCTCACCAATCCTCTGACGCACATCAAATGACACATCTGGAGCAGGGGCTTCTTCAATTATCTTTTGATGTCTCCGCTGAACACTGCAGTCTCTCTCAAACAGGTAAACAGTGTTCCCCAGGGTGTCACCAAATACTTGCACCTCTACATGTCTGAAATTTTTAAGTTACAAGTAGATGATCAACTGAAGACACAGCACCCAAAGAAACCTTTACACAAAGAGTGTCCCATCAAAATTAATGTCCCCTAAAGCCACTGCTCTTGACACATTCCATCCATGATGGTTTTCTAGGACCGTAAAAGAGTAACTTTGGCTTGGGATTAAGTTCTTGAGAGAGTCAATCTTCATTTTTTTGAAGTCTAAAAAAATATCCAAACTCTCCCTCTCTAATGCAATCATTTGTGGTTTTGTACCCCAAAACACCCTTGCAAAACTCCAAGAATAAACATTACTTTTACTTTAGAAAGCTTCAAACTTAACAGTTGGTCCACATGAGCTTGTTCTGGGGAACAGGATACATGCACAGGTTTATATCTTTGGCTAAAAGGTTTATTTTTCGGTCTTTAGTTTCAAACCAAAAAGAAATCAAGCCACAGTTAAATATTCTCAATAGATTTTTCTGATGTAGGGCACACCCATAGCTACTAGGTCAATCTTTTGTCACAGTGTGGTGGCTGGTGTGTGTCAATGACACAGACAGCGATACCAGTAGGAGTGTAAGCTCCAGGTCTTCCAAGCTGCAAAGGCCAAATGGTAGAGGCCAGACATCATATTTTAGACCAATTCTCCTTGAGATCACAAGAAGAATATTAGGCTAACAACTCAACAAGAAAAACAGCTTGATATGAAAACATTGACGAGGAACTCAAAGCTGTGGAGTCTGAAGACCTCAAGAAGATCTAATATACCTTGGAGTGTCAACAAATTTCTCCACCAGCATGTTATCATCGTTAAAAGATTTGAGGGACTCTCTCCTGGCTGACTCAAGAGCAGCATCAAATTCCTCTGGTGATGTAACAATTCTCATTCCTTTGCCTCCACCTCCTCTCACAGCTTTAAGCATAACAGGATACCTATCAAAAAATCATTACCACTGTAATTTATGACAAAACTGCTAAAAAAAAAATTATCATTATAATTTATGTGCATTGCAAAGGCATTGTTCTTGCAAGAAGAAGATAGAGCTACTTTGGTCATGTGCTTTCAAGAGAAAGCACTGACAAAGTTGCTCTCAGAAAGATTCTGGAGGGTAAATGGGAAGTAGGGCATCCCAAATCCATCTGAAGGGAGGATAGTATACCTTGGCTGAACTCAGCACTCTAACCCTTAACTGGGATCAAGCATTGTACCTTGCAAAGGACTGACAGGAATAGAGGAAATGTGCTGTCAAATGCCCCATGTGCCACATAAAAAGGATATATGATGACAATGAAAATGATGATGATGAGACTTGTAATGGCAGATCTCTTTTTGAAGTACAGTGTAGTAACTGCATTAGAGTCACATGTTAAAGGTCATGGAACTCCAGGAAAGTTGGGCATGTCAGGACTTGTCAAGAAAGAAGATAAAATTATTGTGTTTGGTAAACTAGCTCAATATCAACATCATATTCATCACCACCATCATCATCATCATCATTATCAAAAAGCTTGTAGCTGTGGGCTACAAGGTTTCTCCACTTCTTTTATGTCTTGTGTTATACATGTATGCTATCAGACCTCTTCTGGGAACAGTAGGTATGGGTCACTCATGGATCATCACCTTTTGGCAATTTATCAGTTTGCATTTGCCATTGCCTACACTGAAGGGTGGAAAAGGGCATACCACTGCTTCTTGCTTTTAAAATAACAATTCATATTTACAGCTGTACATAATTTCACTGTATAAGAAACCAGAAAAGTATACTAAGATATATTCTAATTTTAGTCGTAATACATATTAAGGAAATTCTAACCCTATTCTTTGTGCCTCAAGTCTTAATCTGTCATCTGATTGGTCCTCACCATGGTAACCTTCAATGATTGGTACTCCAGCACTGCCCATGATTGCCTTACTAGTGCTGCAAAACAAGTAAAACAGAGAAAAAACTTAAATGATGTTTTTAAATGGGTGCATCATGAGAGACCAGAGTACTGTTGTTTAACATTTGGCCTGGACATACTTGTGGGAAACTTTGAATCTTATGATCTGAATTTTTGATATATACTTACAAATGAGACAAGTCTATTGCACATGGTCAGCCCTTTTTTTACTGTATTCATTGATCTGTACTTACTGTACCTTTTGATGCCCATATCTCTGATTGCTGTGGCTGGGGGCCCAATAAATATCACACCTTCTTTATCACAAAGCTCAGCAAATTCAGGCTTCTCTGACAAAAAGCCATAACCAGGATGAATAGCCTGTTCACAAAAAAGTAAAAATATTAAAATAAAAATACTACTTCAACAACATTTTTATGAAACTTAGTAATATCCACAGGTTAGCAAGTGTGGGTAAGTTTCAGGCTTTTGATGCCAGGTTAAAATATGCTCTTGATCTTGCTCCTGAATTGATTTTTCTTGATCTTGAGTATTGCAAAATCTCTTGAAGGTGAAATATTTGAGTTAATTTGATACCTGTGCCCCACTCTTTTTTGCGACTTCAATGATTTTCTCCATGTTGAGGTAACTGTCCCTTGAGGCAGCTGCTCCAATGTGGAAGGCTTCATCAGCCTGGAAAATATGTTTGATACATAAACTATAATTTATACTAGATCAATAAAATTCTAGATGTTATGCACTATGTTTAAAAGACTTACTAACCACAACCTGTACTTATAAGGTTCTGCCATGGCATACATATGGTACAGCAATGATAAATTAGTTAGTCTACAGGGTTTGAGGGTGCAGGAAATAAATGTACAGGCCGGGGTCTTTTAAATAAGGTAACTTTCAGCTCACTCTAGCAACACTTTATGAAATGTGATGTGCTTTGCTTCTTTCATGATTCGGATTATGAAGAAACATTTTGTTATATGGGAGTACACTGGCTATGTTTTCTTGTATAGTAGAATGCCACTATCCACCCTGAATAATCCTGATTCTAACTTTCAAAAAGTAAAGCACAAAACATACAAAAATATAATATTTTTTACAAATTAACAATTTGAGGAAATATATACACTTTATATTTTATTAATGTACCTAAATCTAGTCTTCGCCATGGATAAACTAAACTCTGGTCAAATCCATCTGCAAAACAGCGCTGATTTCCTTGTTCTGGGCCACCACCTGTGTACTAGGACTTGAGTACACACCATGATTGGTCTGTTAAAAAAGACATTGTTGATTTGCCAATCAGTTTGAAAGGAAATTTGAAATGTCCTTCCAGCAATTTGTTTAGTCATCTGAGGCACAGAAAATAAGGATCTCAGCACTGCTTCCCAGACGTTACTAACAGTGTTCTCACCAGGCCGCGGCCTTGCGGGATTCCCGCAAGAAAAACTGAAATGGCGCATTAAAACCAAGAAGATGCGCCCGTTAGGGCGCAGGGGCAAGCTACGAGTCAAATGGACTTAAGTAATTTTAATGGTCAACCTAACACTAAAGCATTCTGTTTGTTTGAATAAATAAAAAACATGATATCAAATGAGTCAAAGTCTTTAATTTTGTTGCCTTTACTTTCATTGGTCCCACGCACGTCCCACTACATCGTAAACTCCTCCTCCGAATCGTAAACACCTCTTCCGCCATATTGGATCAGGTAGGTACTTCATGTAACAGACAATTTGGAGTGCGGGCTCAGGTTCTTCGTACCGAGTGTTTTTTGTAACTTTGTCCCCCTAATGTTCTTACAGGGCCCCTATTTCTCAGAAGAGGAGGCCCTGGGACTCCCCAAGGCAAAATCCTGGTGAGAACACTGACTAACCGAGATTAAATTACAACTGCGATGCAGGCGAACCTAAATCTAGAACAAACAAAAAATACTTATGAACCATGGTACTATGGGGTAAATAACTAACCATATCTACATGCATTGCATTTTCATCAGCATCACTGTAAACGGCCACTGTCCTTATTCCCATTTTCTTTGCTGTTTTCATTACTCGACAAGCAATCTCCCCTCTGTTGGCCACAACAACTTTCTTAATTTGACTTGGACCTATAGAAGAAATTTAGGTCAATCAGGAAAGAAGGTTAAAGTAAAAGAATAACACCCTGTTACTTAGCTTCTTATCAAGAAGTAGCTGATGATTTACTTTCTGCTGGTCAAAACATAAATTATTTATTTACTTTTCAATAGGTTTGCCAATTCTTAGCAGGGTCACCACAATAACGTGTGGTGAAAATTACTGCGGGCCTGTAACAGTCCCTCCCCCATGAGAGATTGACCGCCACACCTGGCACCACTTCCTCTACTCTTTACGAACAGTGCATGGGTTCTTTAACGTCCCACAGAATTTTACATGTGCAAGGGCTGTAAGAAGGGGCCTATGGTTTAACATCCTTATCCGCAAAGACAAGAAAGTCTAACCGTTTACAGATTACAGTGCTGGTCCGGTCAGGGTTTGAACCAGTGGCCTTCAGCTCGGCAGGCTGGCGCATATCCATTTAATTTGAGTTAACGAATTGCTGATGAATTGCTAATTCCTTCAAAAGGAAGAGTGTATCCTTACTTGTCTCAAACTATCTTATGGGGGCGTGTACGGGGCTGGTACTGGAAATATTATAAACAATAAATAAATAAATATAAAAGATAAAATAAGTAATAAATAAAATAACTCCACTTTATTATAAAAACCTAACATTCGAAGAAAGATAACTTAAACAAATGTCAAAAAATTTAACTTCAACATAAGTAGGCAATAAAACAACTAAGATTTAAGATTATAGAGAACAGAAATTTTGATGAACACGTGTGCTTACCAGTTGAATATTGAGTGCCAAAAGTTAACAGCTGTTTCCTAGAAGAAAAAAACAAATAAAAATAGTTTCTGAAAATGTGTTTCATCTTAAATTTACAAAAAAATAATATATGGCACCTTTTCATGTTTAGAAATCTTCCAAAAAGCTTACGGCCCAAAGGAAATGCCATGTTGGCCGCCATATTCAATTCTATAACGGAAAGTCGTATATGAAGTACCTACACGCCGTGAAAACAACTGCTGACCAGCGTCTATTTTTGCTTCCATAGCAACCAGCTGCATTGTGGGAGAATAACAAAATGGCTGCCGAGTGAAAAATTGTAGGGAGATCTTTACTTGTCGGGTACTTTCTTGACTTTCAAGATTATTTTATAAACATGGGTCAGAATCTTAATGAGGCTCCTCCAGGTTCACGGTAAGATGGTAGCTCTTTTTAACACAATATGTAAATTGAAAGGATCGATGGAAGTTCTCATAGATTTTTCTTACTTCAACTTGAAGGCTTACAAGAATTGAGGCAGCGAGAAAAATTGAGCAGTTTTGGTGCTCCTATCGTGATAAGCAAATGTTCAAGCTACTTAAATACGCAATATGCGCAGCGGTAAGTTTTGGACGACAATAAATGATTTTTGAAGGCTTTGTATTTGTCAATGTGTGTAGTAGTTAAAGTACAGTGGCTAGTGTTGCACTATATCTACTGTAGCTAAGCTTGTATGTTGTTTATAGGAGCATTCTCTTACTTATGAAGTGCTACGCAAAGTTTCCCCTCTTGAAGCAGATCTATTGAGAGATCCTGTAGTTCAGGCTAGGGTAAGATTCAGGTAAGTTTACTTGAACGTGTTTTTGTATGTACCAGTATCGGTTCACAATAATTGTGTCCCATAAAATATTAAACACGCCATTTTCATAATTTACCTATTATTCCTTCCCATTGAACTTGCATTGAAAATTTGTTCCCATGTATTTGTGGGTTCCTTCCTCCTTTCCCACCTCAGTTTTTAATTTTTTTTGTCGTGGTAAAAGAAGACACTCCTGTTATCGTGGTGTTTATTATGCAAGGGAGATTGGAGAATTTTCTGTTTACTATGCAGAGCTCTCTGGCTAATGTTCTGTAGTCTATGACTATTTTTCATTCAGATGTGGAGCCTCTTTCATAATATTTTCTCCTGTAACATTACACCTTTCTCCTGCTACTAGAATTCTTAATGTAAACCCTGTGTTATAAGCAGTAATGAGCATCTCTGAGTCTGTGACTTAGGGCCTGTTTACATGGAGCTGGGAACCCCAGGTAGGTGAGGCAACCCGCTTACATGTAGGTGCGTGGGGTAACCCGCTTGTCCATATAATCTCTCAGTTTAGTTTGATCACATTTACATGTCATGATAGTTGGGGTGACCTGCCACAAGTTACCTCACCTATCTGGGGTCCACCACCTCCATGTAAACAGGCCCTTAATGTGTAATTAGCATTGATGCCTCTACAGTAAGACTGGACACTAGCAAAAGTACTGTAGGTGTTGTAAGTTTTTAGATATTAGGTCAGTGATGAGAAGAATAAACTGTTATATTATTTCCTTTTGTACAGATTTGGAGGAGCAGAATTCCCACCTATCATCATGTTTAAGATTTTTATTCATAGTGGTGGGCAAGGTGTTAAATATTACTGTGGGAAAAAAGCCATCAAACCTGCATCTGAGGTATGTGATGCTCTAGTTTCGCAAACAAAATACAGTTGAACCTCTATTAAGAAGCCACCCTCTATTTAGTGGCCAGTTTTCAAATTCCCAAAATAAGACAGTGTAGAAAAGGTTTGGGACTTAATCTCTATTATGAAAGTGGCTGCTGCCATCTTTTAGGCATCCCAAGGAGAGTTTACCCATTGTTCTCACCTCTATTAAGCAACCATCAACTGCTTGATACACTGATCTCCTCTTTAAGTCTGGCTTCATTTCAAGAATATGATGAAGGGAAAAACAGCCAGAGATAGAAGGTGACAACTGATTTTGGACCAGCAATGCTGCTCTTGTCAGATGTTTGTTTCAAAATAAAGTGATGTTTCTGCTCAAGATTATGCTAATTTATGACGAACCTCCATTGAGCAGCCACCTTCCAATCCCCTAGGGGTGCAGTGGCCGCTTAGTGGAGGTTCCACTGTAATCTTTATGCCTTAATGGACCTTTTATGTATAGATGTGAGATGGAAAACATAACCAAATGGATTACATTATAAATCTTACATACCTGTACCCTTACCTTCTGTGGCTTAATTTTATCCTCCTTTGTTTTGAAGTTCAGGTCTTATATAATATTATTATAGTGAAGCAGAAAAACATTCAAAATATTCATACCTGTACCCTTCCCTTCTGTGGCTTTAATTTTATCCTTTAAGTTTTCATTCTCCTTTGTTTTGAAGTTCACGTCAGGTCTTATAATAGGGAAGCAGAAAAATATTCAAAAATTTATTGTGGTTTGAAATAAAGTAATATTTCTATTTTTAAACAGGCAGCAACTGACTCACTCAAACTCATGGGAAACAGGAAGTTTTACGATCAAATGATCGCTGACATGTGCCAGCATGAAAAGGACAGGATTACAGATGAAATTGATGTGACAACAATGAAAGACTACATGCAGGTACATTGGGGGGCGTAATGTGATCAGTAAGAATGAAGACAGTAATGCAAGAATTACATAGTAAAATAATGCAAATGTACAACCTCAACATAGTTATGTGCACCATGTTAGACAAAAAAACATTAATTGTTATCGATGTCTAAGTAAGGATCATTTTTCCCCTAATTTGTTGTGGTATTCTTACCCCATTCTGCAGGGTTTTAACTATATTTTACGCAGATGGGTGCCCAAGGATAAGTACATGTAGAAAAATGCTTTGAGAGTTTTCCGAATTGTAAATGTTTTAATAAATCTAACATTCAACCTGTAGACTTCTGTTTTACATTTACTTTTCTTCTCATTTAAGTACTTGAGCCATTTGGATGAGTGTCCTGCAGAAACAGGTGGAAAATCTAACACATGGAGAAGGCTTACACTTGATGGTATGTTTGGGTTCCTTCTGTAGGTACCAAGGCACAGATTTACGTACAACAAAAGAAACAATAAAACCAAACAATAAAGCCCCCAGGAGAACTCTATTGTTTGCTTCTTTTGTGATGATGGTACATGCAGAAAGACCCTAACTTTGAGATATGATTTGTACCCACTGATCACCACATAAAATGCCTTTGCTAATCCAAGAACTTTGGAGAATGTATTTCACAGAATGACCCACTAAATGGTCAACAGACTGACTTGTAGCTTACTATGGGTCTCTCCATACTGTAGCTTGGTAGGAACACTTGACTAATATAACTTTACGCTATTTTTCTGTTCCAAAAGATAAGTGTATATAATTTAAATGACTGGCTGTAAATTCATTGTATTAATTTTATTTGGTAGCTATTCCACGGCAGAGCATAGTACGTGATATCTTTGGATTTGTTGAGTGTGGTGTTACAACTTCCCGACTAGTAGAGGAATGTCCAGATCTGTTGTCACTCAGACCTGCGACACAGGAAATACAAGTTGCTAGCATCAAAGCTATACCTATATACAGGTAGGAGGAACTCGTGACTCCTTAAGGACGTTTTGATCTCATCTCAATGGTGTGATAAAAAATACCTGAAGGGGGGCCGGGGGGGGGGGGATCTTGTTTCCAGGGTTCCCCCCTACTGACTGGAGGAAGTGAGGCGGGGGTACCATCATTTATAAGGTATTTACTAGGTACATGCTGCTGTGAATGGTAGTAGTTTTTACGAAGTTTAGTCCAAGAAAAGGAAATGGAAATCAGAATGTTTTGTACCGCCAGAATGTTTTTGATTTCTGGGGCCAGATTCATATTCAGTGTATACCAAGCTCATGTTAACCATTGCAAAATATTTGGTATTATGATATATATGTAATATGAAAAAGGCTAATAACAAAATTAGTTAGGCTATTATAAAGGAACTTGTGTTGTCTTCTTTAAAATCAAGGTTAACCCATTCGCCCCTGAACCGTCCGTAACCGCCCGTGCGGATCCAGGTCCTTTCTACCCTTTGTGACGTCATCAGTTTTAACGGTCAAGGACAACTTTCTTCGCTAACTTGTGTAGAGTGAAGAGGTCTTTCAAACCATACCAGAATGAGCACAATTCAGTCAAGGACACCGGAGAAAGAAGCAAAAAACCACATGACAAGAACCTAAAAATCTCCATGAAAATCTTGTTCCATTACCCACCTACCTTTCCTTTCACCTAATCCTAAGATCCTAAAAGCTTTCCTAAAAACTCTTCCCACCAAAATGAAGCCTACTAAATGCCCAGCAAGAGAAAAAAAAAATGAGGCAAGAAAAGCGAAAAAAGAAGGGAGGAGAGACAGCGAAAAGTAAAAGTCAAGACTGCTGTGTCACTTTTAAACCCAAAAACTATGTCGAAATTTTGCTTTCTGCGCATGCCCGAACTTCGCAAGCTGATATTTTGCATCTGCATCAGAAGACCGCCAAGTGTACAACCTGTAAACCGGTTTGTGGTAAGTTTTAGCTCTTTATAGCACGACAGTGACCAGAAAACCACTCGACTAGCTTCAAAACGCGTTTTGGGGCAAAATCTCCAGGAGCGAATGGGTTAAAGGGTTTATTAAAACAGTGCACCCTACTTTACTTGTGGCTTGAGTCACATCAAATTAAATTATTGAGACACTGATTGTATTGTTATTCACTTGCTAATAGGAAGAAGCCTCCAATAGACTACAACAATCCATCTCCTGTTAGGAGGTCGCGGCAAGCTAAAGCAAGAGTGGCTAAAATGAGAAAAATGTATGGAATGGTTTCACCTAAACTGGTGAGTTGGAATTCGCTGAAAATACACTCTAATATTTTTTATAGTTCATTACGAAGACCCACATGAAAGATTTAACGTAAATACTTAATAATAGACCTTTTATGGCCCCTTAGTGTTATATTGGAAGGTGAATTTTTGAATTTTAGGTGCCATCTCAAAAACCAATTCCTAAAGGTACCAAACTGTGCAGGGAAGAGAGTGTAGAAAAAGTTGTAGCATGGGGTTGTAGGAGGGTGGTTTTGTGCTCACCCCACATGTAGTACAGACTGTTGCTGAAAAAAGCTTGGTGATTTCAGTCAAATCTCTGCTAAATGGCCACCTCCCTATAATGGCCACTATTTTTTATACCGGTGAACCTGCCTACAATGGGCACCTCTTTGTAATGGACACTTTCTTGTGTCCTCAAGGTGGCCCTTGTGGAGAGGCTCACTGTAATTTGTTAACAAAGGAAACTGTCAGAATTCCTAATCTCTGCATTACTGTCAAATTTTCCTGCAGAATGAAATGGAGGAAGGCATGTCGTCAACAATTCAACCGTCAGCAGAATATTTTTGAAGATGAAGACTGGGAAGACCAAGCTGATAAACTGTATGAGTGGACACAGAATTTATCACTTGATGACTTAGGAGTCACATCACCTTAACATTTATGAGTTATAAAGAAGCAGAGCTGAACCAGCTGGGATCATTGGTGGTGCGATTATCTTTGGCTGGACACAAAATCTATCTGCTAAAGAGTTACAGTAATTGGACATCACAATACAAACAGGTGTGAAGGCCAAGTTATTATCCTCTAACTCAACAGAAAATCTCTTATTGTTATAAAGAAGCAGAGCTGAACCAGCTGGGATCATTGGTGGTGACATCAGTAATTGGACATCACAATACAAACAGGTGTGAAGGCCAAGTTATTATCCTCTAACTCAACAGAAAATCTCTTATTGTTATAAAGAAGCAGAGCTGAACCAGCTGGGATCATTGGTGGTGCGATTATCTTTGGCTGGACACAAAATCTATCTGCTAAAGAGTTACAGTAATTGGACATCACAATACAAACAGGTGTGAAGGCCAAGTTATTATCCTCTAACTCAACAGAAAATCTCTTATTGAAGACTGTGTTAGAGTTATGACGACCTGAAAATTGTCAGTGACCAGTTTTATGATGATCTTGAGAGCTCCTATTCTCTGTGAAGACACATATTTTGCGAAGTACGAAATTCAATGTTGGTTTTGAGCACAGATGCAAATGTTTCAGTGCACAGTCAAAGCAATTTGGCCAGATTGTGAGAAATGAAGTACAAAGTAGCTTTTCTAATTAACATCGCTACTTTAGTGCAATTTTGGCAAGATTAGGTCATTGTCAGCTGAACATGAGCAAAGCATGTTTTCGTCTGTACTTGTAGAGGGAACAAACTTAAAAACAATTTTATATTTGAGTATGAACGTTTTACAAGGTGTTATAATTATGAAAACCACTTCATTGCAGTTTCACAAAGATGAAAAGGAAGCAGTGAAAAAAATAAGCTCCACTCTCAGTGAATATTAGTTATAAGTATTTTAAAAATTGAGAATTACTTTTATTACCAGTTCATCAAAGAAAAATGAATTATATGTGTAAATAGTAACTATATATAGTAGTGTTGTTAACCATTAAAATAAAATTAATACGCAATAAAGAGTCTAGTATTTCTTCTTTTAGTTTATTTATTTAGCAATTCTATTTAGCTTGTATGATGTACACATAATTTAAACTTGAAAAAGATTTTTTTTATTGAAAGGGGCCACATATTTTTTTAATCTTTTGGACTTGCAACAAATACTTAGTTCTAGAAATAAATAAAATACAGCTAGGAAGGTTGCAGATCTTTCCCTGCAAACATCAAACAGTCTACAGTAACTTTCAAAAATATAAATAATTCCACTCTGACAAAGGATAAATTTTCCACATTAGACTGTACTACAGCAAATAAAACAGACCTTTACCTGTTCCACGTATTCAAACAGACCTTGAGGGAAGACCTAACTCTGATCTAAACATCAAACTACAAACCCAGAAAGGGTTTGTCTGATCCAGGATAAACTGCACACATACTATAAAGAGTGTATGACCCAACGCATAACTAACACTAAATTTGAGTTAGGACCTTGAACTTAACTTAACTTACTGGTTCTAGAAGTCCTGTAAGTTAGCTATCTAGGAAAATGATAAATAATAACATTTTTTGGCAGCTGCAGGGGGCTAGGTCTACAGTAAAGACACTTTGAAAATGAACATGTTGTTGTTAACAAAAGAGGTCAACTAGTGTACTCCTTTTTGTCTTTTGAGTCTAGTGCTCTATCTACAATTTCTGTAAGTACTGTATTTATTCGAATAAGTCTTTTAAGTCCTAAAGACAGAAAAAAAAAGTTAATAAGCTCCCATCTACACTTTGACAATGAGATTGACTGAATAAGTTAATATAAAGAAAAGGAGTTTTCTTCAGAGTTGTTTACAGAAACCTTGCTTTGTTACATCTTCGCGTTTCTTCGCCTCGAATAAGCACCCACTCTCAAGGTCCAAAAATTTAATAAGCGCCCAGGGCGGTTAATCGAATAAATACGGTACTTGACAATATTGCAGATGGACATTTCTATGAATGTACACTGAAAGTATAAATTCCTAAATCCACTTTTTGCCCTACTTTGTCTCTCGATAACTAGCACTGCAGCTTAGACAAATATAAGGCTACAGTTAAAAAGTGGATTTCAAGTCAAAGTATTATTCGTATTGCACAAAACAATGCATAATCGTGTAAAGAAGTGTGCAATTGCCCCAATTTCCAGACAAACTGACAAAAATCTATACAGACAAGTCCAACTCAAACGTTTTAGTCACTGAAAAGCTAAGAGTGTGTTATTTACAGAACAAAGAAGGTAGACTTTTTCAGCCATTATAGGGTTTGGCACCTGGTCGCGCAGCTTCTTTCTGAAGCTCCATATCGATCTTGGCATTGATTTTCTCCCAGTCAACTTCAACCTGTGCAATACAACAGAAAAACGTAAATAATTAGAAGGTTTTCAACATTGACACATTTTCCACAAACTCAACTCAGGCTGAAAAGCGACTGCAGCAAAATCTCGAAATTCGTCATAAGCCAGTCGATAACGACTCGTGCATCCGTGGACGTCTCGTTCATTCTAAAGCGAGCACATGCGTTTATTTCCTGTTTAATCACTTACATCCACAACACTCAACAACATTTGAAGTCCCTATTGTAGAATTAAGTACGCTGCGTATTTGGGAATTCTAACGCTGTCTGAAGAACAGAAGGCTAGACCACTAGAGCGATTAATTGGTTTCATGACAATCTGCTCCCTTTTCCAACATCGTGGCAAGATGGAAAGCCATGTGAATTCAGAACTTACGTCATTCTTACCCCACGAGTCAACAAACGCTTTCCATTCAATTAATTTTAATCGTTTTTCACGTTAGTACCAATACTAGTACCACGTTTCCACCAATATCATAGCTCCATTGTTGGGTGTATAAACCAAAAGAAACACACCTCCATGATTCGCTCTTTCGAAGAATACGCGCTCAGAAAGCTACGATTTTTACCTCTTATTACCTTCTCCACTCCAGTAGCCTGCAAGAGCAGACGCCATTTCGGCTTTTGCTTTACACCGCGTGGGAAACAAAAGCGGAAATAGGCAGCTGCTCTCGCAGGCTACGACTCCAGTTAACACAAATACGACTGAAGATTTCTTCAAACTCATCTTACCCCTTGTGCATATTGAAGGAATCGTTTGCTTTTTTCTGCTCTATCAAAGTTTTCCAGGTATTTTTGTCTGTACGCCAGTACTGTATCCACGTGTGTCTTGTGTTTCACAGCAAGTTCAAGAGCCCTGAAAGAAACACGACTTTAGTTCGTTTCATGTTAATAAGATTAGATTTAGGATTCACAAAACTGGTAGCCTCCAATCTTGAGATAGAGTTGCGTTTTCGTCTGAAACAAGAATGCTCGTTTGTATAATCTTGAATCTTTAGCCTGCGTAGTAACATTTCCGAGCGAGTTGGTCGAGAATAGACTACGAGTAGTCCCCCATTTTTCCTCAGGGATAGTAGAGCGTCTCTGAGGAAAAATGGGGGACTACTCGTAGTCTAGTCGAGAAAGTTGGAACGAGAGACAAAAAAGAAGAAAGAAGGGGGAGGGGGAGAGGATTTCATATTTCCAGTTTTCCCTTTCCCCTCCCCCTTCTTCCAATTTTTGCTCTCGCTTCAACTTCCGCGCCTTAAATACCTGTCCCAATTGAAGAGATCAATATTCATCTGTATTGCTCTGTACACGAGTCCAGCTTGGAGAAGAATAGTCTCTGCCTCCTGCGGCTGCCGACAAAATAACGCCATGGCGGCATTTCTTCCTTCTTTCGTTGGTATTTCTTTGATGTGATTGATGTACTGGACTTTATCTGCCTATAGAACAAGGCAAATGAAAACAGTCAAATCTCTTTTAGCTCGTGAGCAGTGATGAAAACGAAAGTGCTGAGAAACTGCGCGTGAAGAAGCGATGAATTTGCTCAAAAAGTCTATACTTTTAGGGGCCATTTTCTCCGCTGTGCTCGTCGGACGGGGTTCTCTTCTACGAAGGTTAATTGAAAGATGGTTGTATAAATAAAGAGTTAAATGACAATACATACTTCATCGATAGCAGCATATGCCGTCTCTGCCGTGTTAAGATCCTTCGCATAAGCAGCCATAGTAGCAAGACAAGCCCACAAAACTGGATCCTGAGGGCAAAAAAATAAAACAAAAATACCACAGCAAGTCCAGCTACGGTGAGCTTTAATACACGCCAACAGAAAGAGACAGTTAAGGACGTGGGCAATTACAAAGAAAAATAATAATAGGTGGGGAAAGTGAGAGTAGAGAAAAAGAAGGCCCTTCCCACCAGTCCTCAGTCATTTTTAGTTCTAACCTAAGATCGTAAAGAAGTGCTATCTGTGCATGCTACGGAAGTGCTAGTAACTACATCAACAGAACGATGAGTAGGGAATAAGCTGTTACCTTTACAAATCTACACAGTCGAATGGCATCTTGCCATTTAGATCCGCTGGCATACTTGTGAAGCATTGAAGGGTATGGTGAGATTCTGTAGAAAGAGGTCATCAGAGAATACATGTACAAGTGTAACTGGTTTTCAACAGCAACTCACACAAGCCTGCTAGATTTGTGATATAATTTACTAAGAAACAAACATATGGGAGCAAGAGAGATGCAGCGGCTAGAACACTCGCTTGCCGCACCAAAGTGGCCCGATTCAAAACCTGGGTTCCGTGTTTATACGCTGGTTGATTTTCTTGTTGGCTCTCTTCCGAGAGGTTTCCCACCGGTGCTCGGGTTTCCTTGCCTTAAAATCCAAAATTTCAAAATTTCAATTCGATATGCAAAGTACAATTAAGTTCTGAACGAGTTCTTGAGAGCTCTCCAGGCGTTTCAAGGGTTAAACACTTACAGTTTTCATAGAGATTAACTGATAATTACAGATAATTTCTACTTACATGGTGCTGCAAAGTGAGCCATCCGCTCTTCTCATTGTGCAGTGGTTTTCCAAGAAACTGACAAGCTGTGGGTTCTTTCCGAAATCACTACGAAGGCAGAAAATTACAATGAGTTATTCCTAAATAAATAATATTTACTTAAGATCAGCAATGTTGGGCTTCTTGTTCTTCGGAAAATTGAGAGGGAACTGGAGAGAGTGCGGTTACCAGTGCTTCTCCCCTTTCTTGAATCAAAACCAACCTAAGATACTACGGAGCTTAAGAAAAGACGTTTTTGAGCGACGCATGTCAACCGGAAGTTGAATTTTACAAGACGAAAAAAAGGGAAAGGCATTACTTCCGGTTGACGTGCATCGCTCAAAAACGTCTTTGCTTAAGCTCCGTACTGATTGGAATATTAAGAAACTTATTGGTTACAGTTCTTTGAGATGAAACTTGGTTACCCCTAGGATTTTGTACCCCTTGGGTTTACTACCCTCTGGGTTTGTTTCCGTTTTTACCTGGAATCTTTTTCCAGAAGTGTTTTTGGCAGGATGTCCTGGTCCACATACACCGCGCTAGGATAATACCAGACAATAAATCGACCATCCTGAAACGCTGACAACATATTGGTGTTGTCGTTCCACGCCATCGTAGTTATCATTGTTCCTGAACAAAGACAATAATGAACATTTGAGAAATATCGTCATAAACAATAAAAAAAAAGTACTTGAAGAATCAGTGGTTCCTTCCTTTTGCAATAGACACCAGAGTGAATGAAAGAAAAGGGTGCTCGTAACAGCCTCACAGGGGGCAAATTTTCAAGCGTTTGCGCAAAACTGTACAGTATAATGTAATGCCAAGGAACTGGGAAAATATGTTCACTATAACGAGGTTCTTTTCCACATATTTTACTATAATTGGAGCGTAGAGTATTGTTCGTAGTGCCGATGACTTCGTTATATAGACGTTTGCTATATCAAGGTTCCACTGGTTACCAGTGATCTCGCTTCCAAGTCATTTCGTCCCGGTTGCTTAGCCCCCTATTCTAGAACGAGGAATAAGACATTTGAAGCGTGCTTATTTTGGTTTATGGCTAAAAGTAACGAGGAATATTACATTTGAAGAGCGCTTGTTTTGCCTTATGGCTTAAAGGACGAGGAATATTACATTTGAGGCGCACCGCTACATGACTCGAAAATAGCAGGCTAAGTTACCGCGGCGAAATGAACGATTACCATTCCACTGCATGCATATACATTGATAAGGGCTAACTGATTAACTAACCGAGTTTGAAAAGCCTTTCTGCAGGGCCAATATGTTTAACCGGGGTAAGATAGAGGTCTCTGTTCTTATCAATAACAGCCAGTTGTCTATCACTTGTTGGACCACACTGGCTCAGAGCAATCTCCATAACTTCAAGCTACAAATTCAAAAAGTATAAGATCTGGTTAGTGACACGTCGTCAGTAAGGAATTTCTGTGCTCGATTCTAAGACGTCATTTGGCGGAGAAACCAGCGGTGACGTTGGGAAACGTCACCTGTTTTCCTCGGCTACTCCGGAGGGGGAGGGGGAAAAGGCGGGTTTTATAAAGGATTTTCAATGTAAAAACGCAGGTAAGCTTACTGAATGTTGGATTGGCTGTCCACTTCCTACTGGTTTCCCTGACTGAGTTTCAAACAAATGGATCACTGAAAAATAGCGACAACATTATAAACATTTTTTCCAGGACTATAGGAATTTTTTGGTTTTGCAAAAGCAGTAAAATAAATTTACCAAGAAATAATAGTAATTGATACAGATAACGCCAACAGAAAAAATAACAAACATTGCATTTATTTCAGCATGTCCATCTTTAGATCAACTGTAAGTACCTTAAAGGCAAAAACAACTCAACTACTATATTCAATACACTATAAAAATTATTCTCGCTGCAATGTACCTTTTTCATCCTTTCTATCCTTGATGGCTAGTGTGTCATTACTCAATGTACATGTCTGCTCATTTAGAATATCTGTTCTAAGACCCTGGTACTTAGGCACACACGTTAAGCGACCCTGTAACAAGGAGAGAAATAAGTGCAAATATTATATACAGTGCAACTACTCCTCTCCTCACATCTTTTTAAGGGACACCGTTGTCACTGTTGTCACTGTTGTCACAGTTGTCACCGTTGTCACCGTTGTCACCGTTGTCACTGTTGTCACCGTTGTCACTGTTGTCACCGTTATCACCGTTGTCACAGTTGTCACCGTTGTCACAGTTGTCGCTGTTGTCACCGTTGTCACTGTTGTCACTGTTGTCACCGTTGTCACTGTTGTCACAGTTGTCACAGTTGTCACCGTTGTCACTGTTGTCACCGTTATCACCGTTGTCACAGTTGTCACCGTTGTCACAGTTGTCACTGTTATCACCGTTGTCACTGTTGTCACAGTTGTCACAGTTGTCACAGTTGTCACCGTTGTCACCGTTGTCACTGTTGTCACAGTTGTCACAGTTGTCACCGTTGTCACTGTTGTCACCGTTGTCACCGTTGTCACCGTTGTCACCGTTGTCACAGTTGTCACTGTTGTCACCGTTGTCACAGTTGTCACTGTTGTCACCGTTGTCACTGTTGTCACAGTTGTCACAGTTGTCACCGTTGTCACTGTTGTCACCGTTGTCACAGTTGTCACCGTTGTCACCGTTGTCACCGTTGTCACTGTTGTCACAGTTGTCACAGTTGTCACAGTTGTCACCGTTGTCACTGTTGTCACCGTTGTCACAGTTGTCACCGTTGTCACTGTTGTCACCGTTGTCACAGTTGTCACCGTTGTCAGAGTTGTCAACGTTGTCACTGTTCTCACCGTTGTCACAGTTGTCACTGTTGTCACCGTTATCACCGTTATCACAGTTGTCACCGTTGTCACTGTTGTCACCGTTGTCACTGTTGTCACAGTCGTCACAGTTCTCACAGTTGTCACCGTTGTCACCGTTGTCACTGTTGTCACCGTTGTCACAGTTGTCACCGTTGTCACTGTTGTCACCGTTGTCACCGTTGTCACCGTTGTCACCGTTGTCACCGTTGTCACAGTTGTCACTGTTGTCACCGTTGTCACCGTTGTCACAGTTGTCACCGTTGTCACTGTTGTCACCGTTGTCACTGTTGTCACAGTTGTCACAGTTGTCACCGTTGTCACCGTTGTCACTGTTATCACCGTTGTCACAGTTGTCACCGTTGTCACAGTTGTCACCGTTGTCACCGTTGTCACTGTTGTCACCGTTGTCACCGTTGTCACAGTTGTCACAGTTGTCACCGTTGTCACCGTTGTCACTGTTGTCACCGTTATCACCGTTGTCACCGTTGTCACCGTTGTCACTGTTGTCACCGTTGTCACTGTTGTCACAGTTGTCACAGTTGTCACCGTTGTCACTGTTGTCACCGTTATCACCGTTGTCACCGTTGTCACTGTTGTCACCGTTGTCACCGTTGTCACCGTTGTCACTGTTGTCACCGTTGTCACAGTTGTCACTGTTGTCACTGTTGTCACCGTTGTCACTGTTGTCACTGTTGTCACCGTTGTCACCGTTGTCACCGTTGTCACCGTTGTCACAGTTGTCACCGTTGTCACTGTTGTCACTGTTGTCACCGTTGTCACCGTTATCACCGTTGTCACTGTTGTCACCGTTGTCACCGTTGTCACCGTTGTCACCGTTGTCACCGTTGTCACCGTTGTCACCGTTGTCACCGTTGTCACCGTTGTCACCGTTGTCACTGTTGTCACCGTTGTCACCGTTGTCACCGTTGTCACCGTTGTCACCGTTGTCACCGTTGTCACCGTTGTCACTGTTGTCACCGTTGTCACCGTTGTCACTGTTGTCACCGTTGTCACCGTTGTCACCGTTGTCACCGTTGTCACTGTTGTCACCGTTGTCACCGTTGTCACCGTTGTCACTGTTGTCACCGTTGTCACCGTTGTCACTGTTGTCACCGTTGTCACCGTTGTCACCGTTGTCACCGTTGTCACCGTTGTCACCGTTGTCACCGTTGTCACCGTTGTCACCGTTGTCACTGTTGTCACCGTTGTCACTGTTGTCACCGTTGTCACCGTTGTCACCGTTGTCACCGTTGTCACCGTTGTCACCGTTGTCACCGTTGTCACCGTTGTCACCGTTGTCACCGTTGTCACCGTTGTCACTGTTGTCACCGTTGTCACCGTTGTCACCGTTGTCACCGTTGTCACTGTTGTCACCGTTGTCACCGTTGTCACCGTTGTCACCGTTGTCACTGTTGTCACCGTTGTCACCGTTGTCACAGTTGTCACCGTTGTCACTGTTGTCACCGTTGTCACCGTTGTCACTGTTGTCACCGTTGTCACTGTTGTCACCGTTGTCACCGTTGTCACCGTTGTCACTGTTGTCACCGTTGTCACCGTTGTCACCGTTGTCACCGTTGTCACCGTTGTCACCGTTGTCACCGTTGTCACCGTTGTCACTGTTGTCACCGTTGTCACTGTTGTCACCGTTGTCACCGTTGTCACCGTTGTCACCGTTGTCACCGTTGTCACCGTTGTCACCGTTGTCACCGTTGTCACCGTTGTCACCGTTGTCACCGTTGTCACCGTTGTCACCGTTGTCACCGTTGTCACCGTTGTCACCGTTGTCACCGTTGTCACCGTTGTCACCGTTGTCACCGTTGTCACCGTTGTCACCGTTGTCACTGTTGTCACCGTTGTCACCGTTGTCACCGTTGTCACCGTTGTCACCGTTGTCACCGTTGTCACCGTTGTCACCGTTGTCACCGTTGTCACCGTTGTCACCGTTGTCACCGTTGTCACCGTTGTCACCGTTGTCACCGTTGTCACCGTTGTCACCGTTGTCACCGTTGTCACCGTTGTCACCGTTGTCACCGTTGTCACCGTTGTCACCGTTGTCACCGTTGTCACCGTTGTCACCATTGTCACCGTTGTCACTGTTGTCACCGTTGTCACCGTTGTCACTGTTGTCACCGTTGTCACCGTTGTCACTGTTGTCACTGTTGTCACCGTTGTCACCGTTGTCACTGTTGTCACCGTTGTCACCGTTGTCACCGTTGTCACCGTTGTCACCGTTGTCACCGTTGTCACCGTTGTCACTGTTGTCACCATTGTCACAGTTGTCAGAGTTTTCACGGTTGTCACCGTTGTCACTGTTGTTAACGTTGTCACTGTTGTCACCGTTGTCATCGTTGTCACCGTTGTCATCGTTGTCACCATTGTCATCGTTGTCACTCTTGTCACCGTTGTCACAGTTGTAACGGTTGTCACCGTTGCCACCTTTGTCACCATTCTCAGTGTTGTCATCGTTGTCACCGTTTTCACCGTTGTCACTGTTGTCACCCTTGTCACAGTTTTCACAGTTGTCAGGGTTGTCACGTTTGTCACCATTGTCACAGTTGTCAGAGTTTTCACGGTTTTCACCGTTGTCACTGTTGTTAACGTTGTCACCGTTCTTCACCGTTGTCACTGTTGTCACCCTCGTCATAGTTGTCACCGTTGTGATTGTTGTCACTGTTGTCACCGTTGTCACAGTTGTCAAGGTTGTCACGTTTGTCACCGTTGTCACCGTTGTCACTGTTGTTATCGTTGTCACGGTTGTCATTGTTGTCACTGTTGTCATTGTTGTCACTGTTGTCACCGTTGTCACAGTTGTCAGGGTTGTTACGTTTGTCACCATTGTCATCGTTGTCACTGTTTTCACCGTTGTCACCGTTGTCACCGTTGTCACCGTTGTCACCGTTGTCACTGTTGTCACCGTTGTCACCGTTGTCACCGTTGTCACCGTTGTCACCGTTGTCACTGTTGTCACCGTTGTCACCGTTGTCACCGTTGTCACCGTTGTCACTGTTGTCACCGTTGTCACCGTTGTCACCGTTGTCACCGTTGTCACCGTTGTCACTGTTGTCACCGTTGTCACCGTTGTCACCGTTGTCACTGTTGTCACCACCGTGTCACTGTTGTGACTGTTGTCACCGTTGTCACCGTTGTTACTGTTGTCACCGTTGTCACCGTTGTCACCGTTGTCACCGTTGTCATCGTTGTCACCGTTGTCACCGTTGTCACCGTTGTCACCGTTGTCACCGTTGTCACCGTTGTCACCGTTGTCACTGTTGTCACCGTTGTCACCGTTGTCACCGTTGTCACCGTTGTCACTGTTGTCACCGTTGTCACCGTTGTCACCGTTGTCACTGTTGTCACTGTTGTCACCGTTGTCACCGTTGTCACTGTTGTCACCGTTGTCACCGTTGTCACCGTTGTCATCGTTGTCACTGTTGTCACCGTTGTCACAGTTGTCACCGTTGTCACTGTTGTCACCGTTGTCACCGTTGTCACTGTTGTCACCGTTGTCACCGTTGTCACCGTTGTCACCGTTGTCACCGTTGTCACCGTTGTCACTGTTGTCACCGTTGTCATCGTTGTCACTGTTGTCACCGTTGTCACTGTTGTCACCGTTGTCACTGTTGTCACCGTTGTCACCGTTGTCACCGTTGTCACTGTTGTCACCGTTGTCACCGTTGTCACTGTTGTCACCGTTGTCACCGTTGTCACTGTTGTCACCGTTGTCACTGTTGTCACCGTTGTCACCGTTGTCACCGTTGTCACCGTTCTCACCGTTGTCACCGTTGTCACCGTTGTCACCGTTGTCACCGTTGTCACTGTTGTCACCGTTGTCACCGTTGTCACCGTTGTCACTGTTGTCACTGTTGTCACCGTTGTCACCGTTGTCACCGTTGTCACCGTTGTCACCGTTGTCACCGTTGTCACCGTTGTCACCGTTGTCACCGTTGTCACCGTTGTCACTGTTGTCACCGTTGTCACCGTTGTCACCGTTGTCACCGTTGTCACCGTTGTCACCGTTGTCACCGTTGTCACCGTTGTCACCGTTGTCACTGTTGTCACCGTTGTCACCGTTGTCACCGTTGTCACCGTTGTCACAGTTGTCACCGTTGTCACCGTTGTCACCGTTGTCACCGTTGTCACCGTTGTCACCGTTGTCACTGTTGTCACCGTTGTCACCGTTGTCACCGTTGTCACCGTTGTCACCGTTGTCACCGTTGTCACCGTTG